TAAAAGAACAACAAGCAGATCTGCTATTTGTATTGACCTTGCAAAATGTTTGGCTTTTTCTTTTTGTTACTGTTTTAGCCACATGGTTGAGGTTCAACTGAAATATGCCATGTCAAAAGAGAAGCATACAAAAAGAAGAAAAATAGTTCCCCATGAAAATACCACAGTGAAGAGAGACCCCAGGAATATAATGTCTTTTTAATGCACATAATGAGTACAGTGCAGTAAAAAAATCTCTGTCAGGAAGTGCTACTACTGTCAAAGAACATTTGTTGTTAATATACTGCTTTCACTGTCCCTTGAAGACATGAAACACACAAACATTAGTGAACATTATCTGCACGAGGCCTCACTTGCACATCTGATGATGACATTTACTTCACATGCACAGCAGAGGGCACGTATACTCACAAATGTGAAAAGCATAGGCCTGAGAAGATGGAGATGAGCAGCAAATGAACCGATATTGTGCCGCTGCATGGTTGAGCAAAGCTAAGAGTAAAAATGAACATAATGATAGATGGAATATTTGGATTTTGGCATCTAACAAAGCCAAATGAAGCTTAGAAAGACAATTAAGAGCATCTGTAAAACCAGGGACCTTTCCTATACCATATACATGTATGTCAAGGAAAGTGTTGTGAACAGAGGAGCCGAGGGAAACTGGGCTGCTCCTCATTGAATTGCATGCACTTAGGTAATTTCATTATGAGTCCAGTAAGATAATACTCAGATTATCGTGTCATAAAAACACCCTAACACAGTTAACTCACTGATCTTTAGAATGACCATAATGATATGTGAATGTATATGATACATGCAGTCAATAGCTATTGGTTTGATTCATGGGACACAGAACAAGTTATTTGTTTGTCTGTTTCTATTCTAGCTGCTACCCCAGTCGCAAGGCAGGATCAAGCTAACAGCTAATAAATCTCTGCTAATAAGTAAGCCTGTCCTCTCACTGCCTGGTAACAACAAGTGGGCTAATATATAACCACAGTAGGCACGAGGGAGAGGCCAAACTTGGCAGTGGAGGTCAGACGGGTTATCTGATGACATGGTATGTAAAAACAAACAACTTTAAATATTAATACAAATACAAACAACTAGATGATTAATATAAAAAAAAGCTAATAAATACAAACATCTAGATGATTAATATAAAAAAAAGCTAACTCAACTTCCATCCATTTAATTGGTTATAATGTTGTGTTTTTGATTGTTTCTGTTTGAATAGAATTTCTTTTTAAAGTTTAATATTTTGCATCCTTTGTAGGAGTTAGTATTTATTAATAAAAAACTAGGCTTCATCACGTTTTTAACTTCTATTATTAAAAGTTAAATTCACATAGATTTAAAAATGCATCTTTCTAAACACTGGTCTTTTAAATTCTCACTGAAAATTGTCACTCAGTTCTCACATACATTTTAAAAGAACACTGTTTAAATACAACTGCCTTTTTTTTTTTTTGGTCACAAAACATGACATACACAGCAAACTAAAAAATAGACACAAACACACTCCTATTGTATCCATTAGGATGAGCCGGACAAAGATGAGCGTTGATCAACAAAGTAGAAATAAAGAGTTCTCTTTATGCACTAACTGGAGTAGATTTAAAAAACAAAAAAGCATAGTGTTCAAAAGCAAGCAAAGCTTTTCCACCAATAGAAAATGTGCTTCACAAATGAAGGCCAAAACACATCACTGCAAGAACATTTTAAGACCTTTTTTTAAAAAATATAATTTATCTTCACAATTATTATTCATGGGCAGGTGAAAATAGAAAGCTTTCATTTCTACATCTGTTCTATTTTACTGAGCAGTGTAATATACAGAGAGGAAAGGAGAGAGGCAGAGGACAACTAATTCACAGAGACCTGTTCAGATTTCCTCAAAGAGACTTAGGAGTGAGGTCTGAGCTCCTAACTGCCAATGAACCATCAAGGCGAGACCCACAAATCTCTGCTGTGTTCAAGTTCAACAGTTTTCTGAAAAGACTTCACCTCACTAACACTCAACACTAACACGCATGAACTTGATGTGGGTGGAAATAAAAAAAAAATCTTTGTTTTCTATTATTTGATACCACAAGCAAAATTGGTACGTACTGCTGAAAATACATATTCTTAGAAAATTAAATTAAATTATATTAACAATCTTGTCTTAGTCTGATATCCTGCCAGACCCAGTTAAACAAGAGTAGCTGCATGCTTTAACAATCTTGTCTTAGTCTGATATCCTGTACTTGACAAACCAGTTATAAATTATTTCTGTACACACACTTAAATTATTTTATGTAAAAGCAGGTAAAATTAAATCAAGAAAAAAAATTTGGTTCAAAAAATCTTCTAAGATTTAATACATATTGGAGTTATGAAACAAAGCTGCAGGTAGGCCGCAGTATGAACGACTTTGAGATCATTGCATTTTCTATCTGAGTTCACGGAAACAAGCCAAAAGCAAGTATTCCGCAACAGGCATCCTTTCACTTATCTGCAGCATCTGAATCCATAAAGTTGAGCAACTATAGCTGATAAAATCTGGATCTACGTCAACACACTGCATGTGAACACAGAAACATGTCTAATTTTGTACTTCCCTGGCATTATTTTTCAAACAAAACATTGTCAAATTCAGAGTGGTGCTAAAACACTGGTGCTTTTCACCGACACATTTAACAATTCCATGCTCATCAAAAAGTGATCATCCTTATCAACTGAGGACATATGCCTTTCTTTAAAAGCAGAGACATGGAGCAGCCACAGATCTCAAACACAGGCATGTGTTCGTTAGATGAAAAAACTTTGCAGAACAAACTGTGCGCCATTGTCCAGGTGCCATTCTTTCTGACCCCTCCAAAGCCCCTTCCCCCAGTTGTCCTCCTCTTCTGCTCGCTCTACCTTGACCCCTCAAAACTTAGAAAATTCTTTAGAGCACAGCACTTCATAACACTACAGCCAGCAGCTTGACAGTAACAAAAACATGACCCTGAACCCTAGGACTAAAAGCTTAAGAAAACACACAACTACAAGAGTTAAACAAAGGAGAAATTGGTTTCTGGAGAACATACATCAGAATCACAGAACTATTAAACTTGCCGATAAACAAACAAAAAAATAACTGGCAATTGTGGGATTCCGGGGGAACACAGAACTTCCAAAATAAAGTGCTAAGGGAAGAAGAGAATAAGACTTACCACAGAGATCCACACATCCAAACCCAGGAATGAAAGATCCCTCGCTTTTCTATCTCCGATTCACATAGATTTTTCTTAGCTCCCATATGGCACCCCCACCCCTTCCATCAAGAGAGAGGGAGAGGGAGCGAGAGAGAGAAATAGAGGGAGAGAGACGGAGAGATTCAGAAAGAGAGAGAGAGAGAGAAAATGAGAGAGTGGGGGGCCTTAGTCCTAGTGTGGGGATGAAGGGACTGTTGCAGCTGTGCAACCCCGTCAGTATCTCCTCAAATCCAGTCCTCCCCACAATGTGTGTCTGCAGCACCGCGGAAAAAGGCAACGGAAACAAAGTGATCCTCTTACACACAACCCACAGAAAGAAAGAGAGAGGAATGAGGGAGGGAGAGAGTGAGAGAGGGAGAGAGAGAGGGAGAGAGAGAGAGAGAAACATGCAGAAGGACCAGCAGTGAAACAAAACCAGTTTGAGGGCCGAGGCAGCTGGAGGTAAGCAGGTTCAAGTTTTCAGCGTTTCCTTTACTTTGTCGGAGTAACTCTGCCGGGCTGAATGGGAGGGAACAAGTGACAGCCTCTAAGAAGACAAGGAAATGGTGCATAATACCTTCCAGCTTCTTTCTACCCCTGCTACCCCCTCCCTCCCTCCATCCCTTCAACCCCCCTCTCTCTCGTCTCTCACTCTCTATCACCCTTTCTCTGTCTCTCACTCTGTGGTAATAAGCCTGGCTGCAACAACCCCCTCCTTTGGACACTGGAATGCAAGGCAAGAGTTTCAAGAGGCCCAGTTAGACAACCTTCATAGTCACTGCACCTTGACCTTTGGGTCAGACACATTGTGAGTGTGTGTGTGCGATATATGTGCATTCTAAAATTTGCAGGGGCCAGCTTTCCTCATGAGATCACATAACCATACTCGGACAGCCACTTGACACAGTTTATACTGTCGGACATTTACACCACTACACTAAGTCAGAATCAATCCAAACAACACACACACACACACACACACAATAGCTGCCTAACAAAACAAAACAAAATAAAATGCTATAGAACTATAGCATTTGGGTTTATTTGTATTCAATTTTTTGTATTCTATTTTAATGCATTACCTAATCTTTACTTTCAATCCTTTCACTATTTGCTGTTTTGCTAAACCAGCCGGTGGATTTAAAACATTAAAACAACATCTAATACATTTTTTTAAATCAAGTTTTCAAACATAATTTTACTGATTCAAACTTCAACTGATTGCTAAATCATTGTGGCCGGACGGAATTTGTTTGGACACTGTGCCTAAAAGATTTTAAATCTGTCCAATGAGGCAGGTGTGCATCATTTGAATAGAGTAGCCAGTACTGTGTTTGTCAGGGCTCAGTATTTGTGACTGCTCTGCATGAAAAAAAGCTATTCTTCAAATTCATTCAAGTGTCTCAGCTGAAACGGGTGCCCCTCTGCCTGTGTGTGTGGAACTGATTCTGTCTTTCAACCACTAGAGCATACACACACATCCACAAAAACACTGTATAATAAAAGCCTTAAAAGCCTTTAATATGTTCTGGATCACGTCTAGATTGGACTGATTTTCACATACACGTCCTGTTAACAAAACATTAAATCTGAGGAAAAATAACCAAAAAGTCTTAAATAAATTATGTTTTATTTATTCTTTTATAATTTTGCAATGTGACTATGTGATAGATTTCAATCATCTTTTAATCTATCTCCTCAACAAACTCTTGGTATAGTTTGAATTTGTGGTTCTATGGTGTAGCAGTTATCCTGCCTACCTTACACACAGAGGGTCCTGGGTTCGAGCCCTGGAGGAACCACATATCCCTAAAGGTGCCTCCTGTGGCAGCCTGTTTGGGTTGCAAAGACTCACACTGTGAAGTTCCCCAATGTTGGACGAATAAGAAACCAGTATTTTCGTCTGTCAGCTGGAAAAAAATATTGAAGGTACATTTTTCCTTTAAAAAACGCCAAAGTGGAACACAATTTTTAAAACAATTGATGTTTTAAACCTACACAAAACTGTATACTGTTAACCATCAAAATGAAATGAAACGTTTTGCAATAACTGCAACAACGGGGTTAAACATTAAAATACCAGATGACTTACCAGTTGGAAATTCATGGTTCTGCTCAGTCAGCCTCCGTCCACCAAAACAGCTGCGACAGGAAGATCCTGTACAAAGAACAACATCCATTATGCTTCCACTTCCAGAATCCAGCTTGGTTTACATTGAGTGTCACACAATGAAGTGATAGAGTCCATTTAAAAGGACGGTGTCCATGTGGACATTTAAGCTCTTAACACACTATAGGTCCTACCCTAAATTTCATGGATAATAAACATTAAGAACCCCTTTTTAAAGTTTCACACATAAAACTGTTGTGCAGCGAGGCATTTATCCATGATTCATCTGCGGGCTGACTTAGCACTGACTTTATTCAGCTCATCTTTGCTGTTTTGTTGAAAAATGTGCCACTTCCAGGCTTTTGTTCTACTGACAGTCATTTCTATTCACATTTAAACCCAAGTGATAGCCATGGATCGTGGTCACTGAATGAATAGTCAGATTCTTATTTAAATGTCACACGTGAACAATAATCTGTCAAAATCTTTTTACACTTTGTAAAATAAACTTTTGAATGCAATCTTTTTTGTAAACACATCAATGTTTAGCTTTGGGAAAAATGTATGTCACATTATATTAGATTTTTTTTTAGGCAAATTAAAGTATTAGAGTGTACAACATTTATACAGAAGTGAAAAAATATTTCTTCAATGGTCAATAACAACATGAAGAACAAATTAACATAGTCCATTAACAGCAAATTCAAACAACTGAAAAAATATCACATTTTTATCAAAATTTTTTATACATGTTTAAATATATTTTCCAAGAATTCTATGAGCATAAGCTCATATTAAATGTGTGTGCATATAATTGTTGATGGTGTTTTTTTTTTTACAGCAGTTGGCATCCTTACTGTTGGATGACTGCCCTTGTCTGGGTTTAATCATCCACCGAACTGCTGCACTGAAGCAGAGAGATGTTTTTTTGGCACGTGTGCTACTGAATCAAATCTTGTAAAGTAGCTGTATTTGTCTCTCAGCAGTATATGATATTGATTTTGGTTCCATGCTTTTAAAAAAATCTGCAAATCAGCAACATCGTAATGCTTTTTCTTCTGACATTCAGCAGTTAATATAAAATATGTATGGTCAAAAAAGTCCTTTTGATTGAACCTTTAATGTAAATCTTATTAATTAATTACTTCTTCCATGGTTTTTGTGATGGACCAATTTCCCATGAAGCAACATAAAATAGTTGAACCTGGCAACTAATTCCTGTGGTTTTAACTGTACGTCTAAAGGTGACTGTTTTGAAGAAACCCAACTTACTGTGAGGGAAATATTGTGTCTAAGTAAAACTAAACTTAGTACATTAATAATGACATAGGTAATCATCATTTGAACTGTAGGTGATGAAGCAACAATTACACTTTTTAATTACCAGCGTGAGTTGTTATTTCTCTTGCTACCCAGCATGTGGGAAGTTTTTTTGTTTTTGTTTTGGGAAACAGACTATGTTGTTAAGATCCTTGACATTAGGTGAATCACGTGCTTATCTTTGAGCTTTGATGACAAAACAGCTATGACTTACTAATAAAGAAGAAACGGCATACTGTTTTTAAAAAACATCACTTTTACTTTTATTTTAAACTTAGAAAAAATCTTTGCCACAAGCAAATTAATGTTCAATGTTTTAATGTTCAATGATGTACATCAAAGTATTTTACCTCATGGTTTGAATGACTGAGTTCAGGGTCATATGGAGTATGCTGTAGTTTTCAGCCAAAGTACTGTGGCTAATGTGCAGTTGTACTTTCCTAGACTTATTCTTCTGTTAATGCTGCAGTCTAAAAGAATCCTAGGCCAGATGCTGCCCCCTGCAGGTAATAAATAATAGTAGATTTCAAATATCATGAAATTTGAATATTTTTATTTAGGGAACCTCTTAAAAATATAAAGAACTGTCAGCTGGCACTCGTGCGATTTGTCAGTGCATACCAGCAGTAGGAGTACTAGGAAACACACAATACTAGCAGTTCTTTCTTAATTAATTTATATTTCTTTATTTGTTGTAAATTAATACATAAATTGAACCATTTTAATTTAATCTTTTTTTTTACTAAATGTAAACAGAGTAAATCCTGTGGGTTTTGCTCTGTTTGCTTTTCCCTAAAAAGGGATCGTGTGTTTGTGTGTTTACAATAAACAGAAAGCGTGTTAGTGCAACAGAGAACACCTGAGGCGCACCACACAACAATAATGTCTTCGTTGTTCTGTTAATGGAGTAACCACATAAGGGTTTATTTCAGAGACAATTCGCAAAAGTCAAGACAATTAACAAAAGCACAGTACAGGTGCAACAAGATTGAACCAAAGAATTCCAACATCTGAGAGTTCTACTAAGTAATGTAAATAAGACCGAACTGCGGGAAAAACAGTATTTCATTTCCCAATATTCATCTTTTCCTACACCTCAAAATGACATTTTTTTTAACTACCCAAACAAACATGGTATTTATTCAATCTAACCCATAAGGATAAACAAACTTAACAAAAGTTATGCAATGTTTCACAAAAGTCCGTAAATCGTCTTAAAGGTCGAAACCGGACTCACCTCGTGTTTTTATTCTACGTCATTGAATTTAGACTGCCCGAGACTCGTCTTTTGGGAGAGATTTTACGTTTATTTGGCAAAATATATTTCCATGAATATCAACATGAGGAACAAAGTCTATAAAGAACCCGCATTTTAACGTAATATTGGAACCCAACTTACCTTCTCACCCGCAGTACTTAATTAAACCTAAAAGACACGAGTTGATAACAGACGCATTTTTTAACACATAGATACGCCAGCCTATAACATCATTTAAACGGTAAAATAAGAAGCGAATAAACAGGGGAGCAAAAATAAATGAATTCCATAAATAAATAAAAGACTAAAACACCAGTGGAGCGACTTTATTACACTTTAAGATTTACCGCAGTCAACAGGTGGCACCGGATGCAGCCGTAGGTGCACGCAAAGGATTATGGGAAAGCTGGAAGAGGCAAGAACTCCAAATTAAAATAACACAACAAAAAATATTCTGACGTATATTTCTGTCACAATGAAGCTGCAGCTAGTTATAATATAAAAATACATGATGACGATGATGTTGATGCAATATACCCAGAAAATATTAAAGCCATATACTGAAGGAGGGAATTATTGAGCACAATGGTCAGACTTTGTTGGACTGTTTACAATGGTGCACAGGTTTGCACAGGCCCACGGTTAATTAGAGCTGCACTCTTTGAAAAACTTTATCATCATCATTGAATTCTGCAAAGTTAGTGACTTTTTTCTACCAATATTTTAATCTAAATCCTGGCCAAAGTTAGCCAATCCTGCTAATTTCAAATTGTCTTATATATTTTAAATTGCATTACTGCCACTTATTATTTATTTTTTTATTGTTATTATTTTTCCAATAGTGATGACTGTTATCCAGGGGTGTTCCAACAAACGAAACCAAGAAAATACACACGGGCATCACTGCTTATCATAGGACACTGTAGTGGCATTAAAATGTCTGAGGAGATCAACCATACATATATAATTATATATGGATGGCTGGTCTATTGTATGATTCTATTCTATTGATGTATTGTACATAATTATTTGATAACTGCTCCACATTTAAACAGTCACCATAAGCATTTCCACCAGAATCCACGTGTCCTAATGCAGTCAACTATGTTGTGGTTTTTAACCCATACTTAAAAAATAGAACACCGGCAACTAATGTTTTTCTCTCTCTCTTTTTCTTTTTCTTTTTTTTAAAGTGGAGCGATTTGTAGCTGTATGATTATAAAAGTCCAGGCACTGACTCTTACATGTTGTCTTTCACACAAGTCACTCAGTTTAAATCCTACGGTAATGAATACATGTTGTCTTGGCAGCTGTCACAGCCAACATCACTCAGAGAGACAACTTCTTCATAGCTGCTGCCAACATCAAGTTTACTGTCACATGCATTAGTCAAACTGTTGATTTAAAAAAAAAGGTTATACGAGGACAACCTCATAAATACCTTGAACACCGCTTACTTCATCCTGCTGCCAAACAGCCGGAGGGCTCTAAATAAAACTAGATATGCCAAGTGAGCTGGCAGCAAGAACAATGCTCTCAGTGAGTTCCTCGGTGATCTGAGCCACAAGAAGACGGAGGGTAAATTAAGGAAGAAAACAGTGCACTGAAAGGGCTTTAGGTATGATTTATGGCCCTGGGTTTCAGCAAATGTTCCTTCATATATTAAATGCATCAGCCTGCGTCGTTATGGACTGTAGGCCAGGGCACTCTGTTTTCTGCTGATGTAACTTTGTCTAAATAAGGAAAGTAAGAGAAAAAATAGTTTTTTATGTCGCTGCTCCTTCTTCGTTGTCTTGACTTTTCGTGTTTATGGCTTTATTCATTTTTTTGGCTCTGTGTGACGGAAAAAGTGTCTAGTTGCCTCATCAATACCCTTATTAAGAACGTATTACTCAGCATTAACCATGGGCTGTAATGTAGTTTATGGCATAACATAAAATAACTGTACCACCTCTCTGTTAGCAAAGGTAAACAAACATTAAAAAAAAGGTGCCAACACTGCTCAAACTGACTGATAATAGGTGACATTAAATTCACATATAATGTTTTATGTTTAGTATTTAAACTGTCACCAACCTTCCTGCTTTACCTCAGCTTTTAGGAGTCTTTCAGGAGTTTCTACTCCTACGATTTAAAACTCTCTCCATGGAACTATTTTTAACAGACCTCTGGTGGCTGATTATCCACTGAACACACACACACACACATACAAATCACTGCTTTAATAACACAAATCCTTCATTTGTAATTTTGACTTGTTGGAGCTAGACATTGCACAGATTTATAAAATGATGAATTACTTTGGACTGGTGGAAAACCTCAGAACAGCAAGGTCCGTAACCATAATCCCATACTCATCATTATGTGACGTCAGCACTTTATTTTGTCGCAGGGCTAACATGGTGGGCCATCTCTCTACGTGCTGCCTGGATTGTTGCATCAAAGCAGGAAAAGCCAAGAATATTTTAGGACCTAAAACTTAGACACAGCTGCCAAGGGTAGCATTATATTATTCCACAGCAACTATGTGGGAAACTGAAAATCTTATGATGAGCCGAGAACACGAAACTGCACCGTAGTTGAAAACATATTTATTGACTAATGGTTCTAGGGCTGGATCCAGTCAGTCTTATTTAAAAAAATATCATTTGTTTACAGTGAAATTTGCAGAAAAATAATAGGAATAAAATCTTGGTGGGGTGAAAATTTTCTCCTGTGGGAGTTATGTTGTTTCTTTCTTTTTTTATGGCTTTGTTGCATTATTGCAGGTCTAAACATCTGTTGTCCTAATTCTGTTTCCCTTCCTTTATTTTCCTTTAAATTGTATTTCTAATTTCTAATTGATTGAAAATTACAGAAAATTACTAAATGGGATATTTCATATAAAGAAGACACTACTGCAGTAACTCAATATATTCTGCCAATAAAAAAAATCTCCAAGAATCACTAATCAGATTTCACATCTTCTTAAATAGGACAAATGTTGTCAATTGAATTATTACAATGAGATTAGACCTTAGACTATAGATTATTGAACATGTGAGATGGAGCATATGAGTGAACTCTTCCTCTGATGAAAGGCTGGAGCATCCAATGGGATATCTAATCTGTCATATAAATACATAAATAGTAACTGCACATATATATATATGCAGTTACTATTGATGTATTTATATTGTTTGTATGCTCTGTGATAAGGAGCTGGCCAACCCTTTAAATTTGCAGTGTTCTTGGTGCATTGTTGGAAAAGGTACAGTGTCAAGTCACAGTCAATCTTTCTGTCACTCCTTTCTCCTCGTCCTTGAAGTCCACCAGTGGAGATGTTAAAGTTGCAGCAGTCACACACTGCTGAGGTGACAGATATGTCAGTGATCAAGACAACAGACGCAGGAGAAGCAGCTTACGCTGCGGCGTCAGGCCGCAGGCTGCTGCATGCAATTACAGGTATACTTCCCTGGCAACCCAGCCGATGGCAACAACATATCCAATCAGACTGGGAAAAGATGCTCAATACCCAAACATGTTGATTAGCATTGCCCTCACTGACTGGCCAAAGAGGCTGATCTAAGCACTTCGGTTGGCTGCTGCTGCTGCTGCTGCTGCTGCTGCTGCTGCTGGAGGCCTGCCTCTAATGAGTCAGTCAGCAGCTCCACCTTTTGTTTGCCCACTGATGGAAGTCCTGTTTGACCCAGCCGCATCTCCATGGAAGTGGCACCCTTGAATGCCCCCCCCCACACACACACACACACACTCCTCCTTCTCCTCCTCACCTTCTCACCCCCTCCCACCACATTTCTCATCATGTCCCGGTGGCAGCAGCTGCTGAGAAACACCCGCCCCTGGCGCTGAGCCCAGATGGCATTCTTTTCCCTGCACAACTTTTATCCAACCATAAAACACCGCCCAACAAGGCAGGACTCCTTGAAAGTGCCATTAGCTGTGAAGTGAATGGGCAGCTATTTGAAATCCCTTTCTAACTGTCTGCCACCCTCGAACATGATTAGAGAGAGGTGCGTGTTAATTGATAATCGCTTTGAAGGGGATTAATGACTAACGTGGAAAAAAAAGATGCAAAGGATGTGTTCAGAATGGCTGTGTGAAGAAAGCCCTCTGCTGCCCTCTATTCAGACAACGTGAAGCTTTCGTCTAAATCAGCCTCAAACAAAGACGTTTAGGTTCAGGAACACAGGCTGAAGCTACACAAAAAATCCTCCTGGATAAGAGATCGAACGTGATTTACTGACTTCACCGGCAAAAACATAACCCAGGTGTCTTTAAATTTATGTCCATGTTTGCAGGAGAACCTCAGTAGCTTTTAACACAAGACATACAGTCAAAAGACAAGTCAAAAGTTCTACTATAGATGTTATCTTTTCAAAAGGTGTTTTATTCCCAGATAGAACATGTCGAGACACCTCTCCACACCTCTGACTGCAGTTCTATCAATACATCTCTGTCAAGTGTCAAGCTGAGTTATGTTTCATTTGATCGCGTCACGTGAAGTCAATTTGAATTTGTACAGCCCACATTAAAAAAAACATTTTTGAATTTTGACAATTGACTTGAAATATTAGAACTATAATTACAAAATACACCTAAAAACATAAATTAATTTTCTGTATTTACATATAAAAAAAAGTAACCTTAGGAAATGAAAACTTCAGAGCAATCATCATTTTAACCTGACTTGAATGGAAACTGCTAAAATGAACAACATTTTATTTTACTAGATTTTATTTCTTAAAATGAAAAAAAAAACAACTTTGTAATGTCATTTGAAGAATTTTCAAAACCATCAAAATACAAAATATTACTTTTTTTAAAATACTGGCAGTGAGTTCAAAAATGATCCTCCAAACCAAAACCACACACACACTGACACACACACGTTCTCTGTAATTGTGAAGATAGTTATGGACTTAATTCATTTTGATACCCATAATCCTAATTATAAAACCATCACTAATTGGCTGCACCCAACACTGAGTCTGTGCAGTGAAGTGTGTTTGGTCGGTGTCATGTGTATCGCACCGTTCAACTGAGTCTCTGGAGCTGTCAGTGTCGTGAACAAACAGGGCGTTTGAATAAACCTCTGCCACATCTTTATTTTTCTGTGTCATCCCTCCGTCACTCTTCCTCTTCCCTCTCGGCTGCTGCTTCAAAATGTTTCATTTAAGATTTCTTACTTCCAAATAAAACCTGAGCTCCTCTGTAATTTTCCATGATTTTACGTGTGTGGAATTTCAGGGTAATTGGTTCCTATTTAGAAATGGATTTCTGGGAACTTTAGCTGGTTTCTCGAAGGATATTGTGGGATAAGAGATTGTTTCCAACTTTGTGGAAAACCTTCTTCCCATCATATAAATGTAACATGACCTCAGAGGCTACAGGGGACAGATGGGCTCAGTATGAGGAAACAGATTTGATCTTTTCCCAGTCTGGATTTACACTCTGCTTCTTTTAGTTTTTGTGTGAATGGAGGATTGATGACATCACCAGCTCCTTCTCTTTTAAACTCTGCTTTATTTCAGTCACTTGTTTTTTTTTCCTCAAATTGTTATTTTTTTTCCCTGACACACTTTGAGACTCTGAGCCTCTTGTTCCTGAGGTAATGGATTTCTTCTTGTTTTTCTTCATTCTAACAAAATGGAACCGTGTTCCAAACTAACTCTCATCACTTGCTTTGTTTTTGTTTGTTTGTTTGTGTGTTTTTTTAATGGTATCAAGTTGCGTGTACAAAGAGCTGCAGCTTCTGAGTGTCCTCAACACACACACTCTTCTGTTCGTCCGAAACCAATTGTTGTTTGTTTATTGTACGTCTGTCTGGAAAAGGGTCTGCCGTGAGAATGAGATCTGGGTTTCACTGGGTCGACCTGTATGAATAAAGCTGAATATAAAAAAAATGCCCATCTGCCCCAGCTGGAGTCTTCATGATGTTTCAGGCCAAGAACTATATCAACTGTATAAATATCATATTAACTCTTGTGTTGCTCTTGTGGTCATGCTGACCCCAGAGAATGTTTACCTCTACTTCCTGTTGTCATACTTGGATGTAATTAGTCTATCATAGGTCTATTGTACTTTTATTGGAAAAGGGAAGTACTTTTTTTTGCAGTTTTGGGTTGAAATAAAGTTAGACCATACATGTAGATCATCTATCCTCTCTGGTACATTATGTGTATATATATATATATATATATATATATAATTTAATTTTTTCTTATTATGTTTTGTTGAATCATCCATAAACGCCTTGACCTCCTTCCGTACCCCTGCAGACCTCCTCAACTTGGCAGACCATCTACTCTAGGATTGAACCCTTAACTCTTGTCAGTGAATCAAGGGTTCAACTCCCAATTCAGTTACAGCCGAATTTTAGTCTAATTTATTGAGTTAAGAAAGATTATTTCTGTCTGTTGGTCTTTGTTATGGTTTCCTAGATTTCGTGGAAAAGTCTTCATTAGACGCCACCGGGGACCGTCACCATGTTCCCTCTTGTCTACAAGATGTCACACCCTCGTATGACCTGGAAAGGGGGAAGCCTGATAAGACCAAGCCTGCAGTAGTGTTCATAGGGCTGTCTTTCAGTGAGCCCACCAGGGGGCGAACACAGTTCATAGTGGTCCAAAACTCAGTGACAGAAGTGGAAGTTGCGTCCAGAGTTGGTGGTTGTCAAATTTAGCAGCCTCTGGGATTCTGTCTCTGCTTTTTGTAGACAATAAAGTCATGCTAGCATCATTTAACAATGACTTGGAGTTGAATACAAAATTATAAAAATACAAAACCCAGAAGGAGAAGAAGAAACAAGTTTTGGGGTCTTGTTATCAAGTAAGGGGTAAAACACAAGAGTGGTCAGCTCCTCCCAAAGGTAAAGTTCTTGTTCCCCAAAATACCTTCAGTCAATTCAACTAAAGGAATGAACATTTTAGCAAAATTAATAAATCCATTAACACAGCCACTAGAAAAAGGCAGACCAACGATAGACCTGTTAATTTGGATCAGCTGAAAAAAGAAAAAAAAAGCCCAAAAGGTGTTTGGGCATATGAAGCCTATCTGGAGATAATAAATAAATAAATAAGAAATAAATAAAGGACCATCTGGGTGGAGATCATGGGAAAACCCAGGACTTTTGAGGAATGACAGCTCTCAGCTCTCTGTACCCCCAGCTGAGTCCGTGGATGTGGGACAGGGGACCATTGTT